AGAATGATAGCACCTACCACATGCAGTTACAGGCATAAGCCACCATACCTGGCCTGTGACATTTATGAGACATATGGAAAATTTAGACACTGGCTATTTGATGATATTAAGAAAAGATTATTAAAACCAGGTACAGTTGCTCCTGCGTATAATCCCAGCACTTTGGGAGGCCAAGGCAGGAGGATCACTTGGGCTCAGGAGTTCAAGACCAGACTGAGCAACAAAGTGAGACCTAGACTCTATAAGAAATAAAAAATTAGCAAGCCTGGTGGCATACACCTGTGGTCCCAACTGCACAGGACCTGAGGTAGGAGGATCACTTGAGACCAGGAGGTCGAGGCTGTAGTGAGCCATAAAGAAAAGAAAAGATTACTAACTAGAAAGTTGTTAGTGTACCAAATGAAACACCTTGGCCTCCTGCCTTGGGGCTCTCTCTGCAGCCTCCCCAACACTGTTGTTGAGTTGACAGCTCACACCGATCAGACACTCCTGCTCAAGGATCAGGCAGGCCCCAACTCCCTGCTGAGGCAGGCTCTCCCTTGCCTGCAGCGGCTCTTCATTGCTACCCCTCCGGCTTCCATGGGCTCCACCTCCATGCCTTTGCTCAAGCCGTTGCTTCTGCTTAGTGTGCTTGCTGCTCTGCTTCAACCCTATCCATCCCTTGAGGCTCTATACAACTTCCATCTCCCCCACAAAGAGGTTTTTCTGATCTCCTCACCCCTCCCATCCTCCTGAGCCTCCAGGACTTGTCCCACTTACATATCACTGACCACTTGCTTCCTCAGTCTAGAATTTGGGGGATCTATGTCTTTTCATCACTAGATCTTTTCATCACTATGTCTTTTCATCACTAGGCCCTTGGTAGCAAGCTGAATATTCCAGTGGATTAAAATCAGGAGCTTCAAACTCTGACTCAGCTGCTTGTGTACTACTGTCTGACCTTAGGAAGATCATACCACCTCTCTGTGCCCCAATGTCCTCATCTGTAAAATGGGGGTGATCACAGTTCCTACCTCACAGGGTCTCTGTGAATATTAGTTGAAATGAAATATACAAAGAGCCTAGCTCAGAGTAAACATCTTGCAAATGCTGACTGCCACGATTGTGGTAACAGTTAATCATTACAAGTTGCCTCTGTCTTCACAGGCCCTTGTACACAGTAGGTGCCTTGAATTGAGCTGGATGCAAAGAGCAGGACTGGCTCTCAGCTGCTGCCCCATCCCCAGCCAGGCCTCACCTCTCGGTGGACATCTTCACCTCGCTGACCAGCCGCCGGAACCCCACCACCTGCCTCCAGAGGAGGAGCAGGCGACTGTGCTCGTTGCTGAAGTAGGCGTTGAAGGACTGGAGGGAAGACATGGCGAGGGAGGGGTTGGGATCAGAGCGAGTTTACTCCCTCCCCCAGTTTCCCCCATCTCTGACCATCCTGGGAGGCACCATCACTCAGGGAGTGGGTCTTCCTGCCTGTGCACAGAGCTGTGTCACAGCGGCCACGCTCAGCCTCCCAAGCCTCACGGCTCCCTCCTGCACAGAGACCTTGGTTTCAAGTCCTCTCTTGGCTGCCAGAAGCAGCAAGGAAGGGCAAAGATGCAGGGGACCTAGATTTGCATCCCAGCTGCCAGTTGTATGACTGCAGGCAGGTTACTTAACCTCTATTTATTTATTTTTGAGACAGGGTCTTGCTCTGTTGCCCAGGCTGGAGTGCAGTGGCATGATCTCTCAGCCTCCCGAGTAGCTACAATTACAGGCATGTGAGCCACCAGGCCTGACTAATTTTTGTATTTTTAGTAGAGATGGGGTTTCACCATGTTGGTCAGGCTGGTCTCCTGACTTCAGGTGATCGGCTCACCTCAGCCTCCCAAAGTACTGGGATTACAGGCAGGAGCCACCATGCCTGGCCTTAACCTCTCTTTAAAATGAGAAGACTAGGCCAGGTGCAGTGGCTCACACCTGTAATCCCAGCACTTTGGGAGGCCAAGGCAGGTGGATCATGAGGTCAGGAGTTCAAGACCAGCCTGACCAACATGGTGAAACCCCGTCTTTATAAAAAAATAAAAATAAATAAAAATACAAAAATTAGCCAGGCATGGTGGTGGGCACCTGTAGTCCCAGCTGCTTGGGAGGCTGAGGCAGGAGAATCGCTTGAACATGGGAGGCAGTGGTTGCAGTCAGCTGAGACTGCGCCATTGCACTCCAGCCTGGGTGACAGAGCAAGACTCTGTCTCAAAAAATAAAATAAGGAGAATGATAGCACCTACCACATGCAGTTATCATGAGGAATAAAGGTAAATGCACACGATGCACATGGTACATGCTACGCATTGATAAAGACCAGCTATTGTGATGACGGCTATTTACTTCTGCTAACATGCTACCCTGGACAATGCTCCCTCTCCCTCTCCAGGCTTCTGAGTGCTCCCTCCTCTGCAGGGCCCCTTCCCCTTGGGTCAAGCTGGCCTCGCCGCACCCCCGTGCCCACCTCCTGCTCGCGCCTCCATGCAGCCTCCCGCTGCTCCAGCTCCTTGCAGCTGCGTGTCCAGTCACTGGTCACCTTTCGTATGTCCTCACTCAGAGCCTGGTTGGCCGAGCCTGCCTGGTCCAGCTGCTCTCGGAGCATGGCATTCACCTGGGCCAGGCTGGCACTCCTGAATGGGGCCCAGGGCATCAGTAGGTGGTCGCCGGGGGGTTTGGGGGGGCCATCCTGCCAGCCCTGGCCCTCCTTGCTGCACCCTTACCTCTGCTGCTCCTCCTCCAGCCGGATGAGGGCGCTCTCCAGGTCTTGGCTGTGCTCTGTTTCCTGGGTGAGAGGGAGGTTAAAGCATCAGGCTGGGCAGGTGGAGGGTAGGGTCTGCCGCTGGCCCACCCTGGCACCCACCCTCAGCCGCTGCTGCTCCAGCTCTCCGGATCTCTCCAGCAGCTGCCGCTCCAGCTCTGAGCACCTCTTCTTGTATTGGAGAATCTGGGGATGGGGGAGCTGATGAGCCCCAGGGGTGGGGGCAGGGCAAAGTTGAGCATGTGGAAGGGCAGGAGCGGAGTGGGTGGCCCTGACCTTGGCCTGCAGCCGCTGCACAAGCTGGGCCTGCCGCTGCTGGCCCTCCTGGTAGGCCTGCAGCTTGCGCCGGTAGGAGGCCTGCTCCTCCTGCAGCTGCCTCCGCAACTCCACGCTCTGCCGTACCAGCCCCCTGGGCTCCTGTGTCTCCAGCTCCCCAGACTCCAGCCGCACAGCCTGCTCCAGCTGCAGGGAAGGGCCATGGTGAGGGTCCTGGGACTCCTGGGAAGGCAGGCTCAGGCCTCTGTAGGGGACGCCAGGCTGGGGCCAAACCCACAATGCCTTGTAGGCTCGTAGCCTGGCACTCTGGGGAGCAGGCACAAGGGGGCAAGCCCAGGTACAGTGCACGTGTGCATGGGGTGATGCAGCCCTGCACAGACACGCAGATGGGGCATGCATGGACACATGCAGGTGAGCCCACAAACCCAAACCATGCATGCAAAGCTCAGAGGTGCACCTGGGGTCAGCTCCGGGGCCTCAGTACCCCCCAGGCTCTCCTTCAGAACACTGAGACCTGTTGTGGTTTCTGTTTATTACATTGATGCCTGTGTCTCCCCACCCCACTGCCATCCCAATGTGAGCTCAGGGAAGCCTGGATTTTTTGTTCTCATTGCATCTTAGTACTAGAAGGGTGGCTGTGGTATGGCACGGCTCATGCTCCGTAAATATTTGTTGAGATGGTGAATTAATGGCATGAGCTCATGCGAATACATTCAAAACAGAGGCGTCAATCCGGCTATGCATATCTGAGCTTAAAGATATGCACACACACAACACATAACGCAACCTCAAACATGGACACAGATGAACACCCTCATATCCACAGCATTAAGATTTGTAAGAACTGCACACAGATATTCCCCTATACAGCGCCTGCATATTAAGCCTCCTTCTGGCTGGGCGCCATGGCTCATGCCTATAATCCCAGCACTTTGGGAGGCCAAGGTGGGTAGATCACGGGGTCCGGAGATCGAGACCATCCTGGCCAACATGATAAAACCCCATCTCTACTAAAAATACAAAAATTATTCCACAGAAACTGGATAACCAGGCAAAAGAAAAAAAAATACAAAAATTAGGGGGGGTGTGGTGGTGACCACCTGTAATCCCAGCTACTTGGGAGGCTGAGGCAGGAGAATCCCTTGAACCAGGGAGTTGGAGTTTGCAGTGAGCCAAGATGCCCCACGGCACTCCAGCCTGGTGACAGGGTGAGACTCCGTCTCAAAAAAGAAAATTAGCCAGGCGTGGTGGCACGCACCTGAAATCCCAGTTACTCTGGAGGCTGAGGCAGGAGAATTGCTTGAACCTGGGAGGTGGAGGTTGCAGTGAGCCGAGATCACGCCACTGCACTCCAGCCTGGGTGACAGGGCAAGACTCTGTCTTAAAAAAAAAAAAAAAAAAAAAAAAGGCCCCCTTCGTCCTCACCTCACCAAAGCCTCTGCTGCTGCCCATCCTCCACCCCCAGGCAGGCTGTAGCCCCTGCATCCTCAGACCCCTGTGGGTTCTGGCTGCCCCTACTAGCCATGGAACCCTCTCAACTCCCTTAAGGCACCTGCTGGTCCCGGGTGGCCCCTCATCTTCCCCAGCTGTTGGGGGGAAAGCAGGTGAGGGAGGAGCAGGGCAGTGTGAGCGCACAGACCGGGTCGGGGGCACCCAACAGCGACAACACCCCAGCCCAGCTGACTCTGACGCTAACGCCGCACTCACCATCCACATCCTCAGGACCCGGCCTGCTACAGCCTGGACAAGCCATTCACAAGCCCACCCGTGCAGGGCCACGCCAGCCACAGGAAGCCAGCAGGAGGGGCAGCTGCTCTCACCCACGCTCATCTCGGGTCTTGGGTCCAGGCCAGGCTAGCAGTAGGGAAGGTGCCCCCCAGGCCTGCACTGACCCCATATGCCCAGAGGTGCTCTATGAGCCACAGACAAAGCAAGGACACCTCTACCCACCCTACCCTGGGGACACATGCATAGCCACCAATAGGGAGGAGCTGACTGTGACTACTTGGGGGCTTCCCCCTGCATCTGGAGGAACGCAGTCCAGGGGTGTGCAGGGGAGGCGGAAGAGGGGGTTTCTGCCTGGATGGCGGCTGCAGGCCTACCAAGTGTCTGTGCCAAGCCCACTGATGTCAGTGGTGCAGTGTCCACATCTGTGTGTGGTGGCCGTGGCCTGGAGCAGCCACACACAGACGTGGACACGTGGAGACGCAGGACCCTGCTTGTGTCCGTGTGTGGGTGCTGAGTTCACACTGACGGTATGGTGCATCTGGGCCTTCCCGTGAACGGGTAGGGTGGCATCTGTGGCTGCAGGTCTGTGTTGTAGTGTGACTGTTGAGCCCATCTGTGTGTATCGGGGCATATGTCTGTGTGTGTCAGGAAGGCAAATGCACAACTGCACATGGGTGGGTCTGGGGAGTGCCGGGACTCCCTGGTGTGTGTGTGATACATACTTTGTGCCTCTGGGCATACCTCTGTGGGCCGACTGCTGGCCGTGTTGACCTGTATGCTTTTTCTGTCCATGTGCACCCATGAGGCGGGAGACGGCGTGCGGTGTCATCTGCATATGGGTGTTTTGGGTCTGTGGTGGCGGTGTGGGTGTTATGGGTCCGCAGTGGTGGTGTGAGTATTCTGTGCCTACGTGGGGTTGTGTCGCCTCTGGCTGTGGGTACAGGTTATGCTGTGCACATTCTGTGATTTGGAGTTTCTGTGTGGCCTGGTTTTAGGGGTGTCACTATGGGGGTTGTGTGGCATCTGGCTATAGGTGCAGGTTAGGCTGGGAATATTCTGTGAATTGGAGTGTGTCTGTGTGGCCCGGTTTTAGGGTCTCACTATGTTGTTTGTGGCATGTTTTGTGCATCTGTGTCTCTGTGTGGGGCCTGGTGTGGCTGTGTTGTGTACACACTCCACATCTGTGTGAAGCAGGTGTTGTTTGCCTGTGGGACACAGAGAGGTTCAGGCCGTTGCTGGGCTCTCCTCCACCTTCTCCAATGCTCAGAACCAGAGCCAGGACCCTCTCGGCCACACCTCACCCCTTTCCACAAACCTCACCCCACACAAAACAGCCTTTCAATTTTACTCGCAATTCAAAAGGGAAGGAGGCTGCCACTAAGCCAGAGATGAAAGAAGTTGACTGTCTCCCCTAGCAACCGCTGCCCTCAGACTGCCATTCAGTTACTCTTTCCAGGTTGCTATGGACACGAGGGAGCCCAGGGGGTCTGTCCTTCAGCGCCAAGGGAGGCGTGGCCACTCCCTCCTTTCCATTCCCTGCTGTGCCTACACTTGCTTCTCAGGGACAGCAAGAAGTGGGGTCCCCCATGGGGGCCCTGAGGTCATCTCTCTTGGCTGGGAGGTGGCCTCTGGGAGTGCCTCAGTTTCCCTCCAGGACATGCAGTCAACAGGACACAGACCTGACCCTCCCCACACTCCCCATGCCAGGTGCTGCTGGGTTGGAAAGATCAGAACAATCTCGCTGACTGCCCCCCAACCCAGCCCATCATGCTAGTGAGGGCCGCAGGGGCAGGCACTGCCACCTGTGGCCACAGGGACAAGGGGGTGGCAGGGAGAGAGAATGTTGCCCAACTGCAGAGCCCAGGACCAAGCGTCTCATCCCAGCACTACCACTGACCTTGGGCCCATCACACCCCTCTCCAGGCCTTACTTTCCCTGTATGTGATAAGGTGGTCTCCAGGCTCTGGAGTGCTCTGGGGACCCGCCCTCCAGGAAAGGCCTTTGAGGTCATTCCTGTTCCGCCCCTGCCTCCAGGTGGGGCCTCATTCAAACCATGGTGGATAGAGGATAACTGAACCAGCAGGCACCCATTGCATGCCATTCGGGCCCCCCTAGCCACAGGAGGGAGCTTTCCAGACTAACCCACACCCCCATGCTGCAGTCCCAGCCCTGCAGCGGTGTCCCAGCAGAGGAGGAACCTGCCACCTCCCACTTCTTCCCTTCCCTGCCAACCTGAGGGCAGGACTGGCTTCAGAAGGTGGCATTTAAGAGGCAGCCCCTGTGGGTATGGCATTGTGCCATGGGCCGAAAGAAAAGCGGGGGGCTGGCCCTGGGCCCTGTCACCACCGACAATGCAGGACTGGGGCCAGCATGCCCTACACACCCCCTGCAGACCCTGGGAAAGCTGGCTCTCCACTGTCCCGATGTTAGGGCCACTGTGGGTCCCTACCCTGCTCCTCTACAAGTCCCAACAAGTTGGGGGCTTGTCCAGGCAGGCAAATCCCAGGACTCGGGCACACCCCACAGTCATACACAGGATCGCATACCCCTCCTTCCAATACGGGTGTGCGGGTTCCAGCCTGGACAAGCCCAGCTCTGGGGTCCTGTGCTCACCTAACTCTGCCACTACCACACAGGTGACCCTGGGCCAGCCCCTGCCTCTCTGGGTCCTTTCCAACTTTGCAGGGGCCAGGCGTGCCCTGAGGTCCCCAGCCCGATGTCTCTCATCATATGCAAGAAACAAAACTTCAGAACTTTTTTTCTAGACTGGGTTAGTCTGGAAACCAAACAGAGCCCTGGGCTGGGAGTTGGGAGACCCGGTGTCTAGCCTTAACTGGCTGTGTATCCCCAGCATGGTGCTTCCCCTCCCTGAGCCTCCGCTTTTCTCCTCTGTTAAATGGGCATCATAATGGTCCCAACCTTGGGGCATTAAATGTGAAACACTCAGCATGTGCCTGGCACATAGTAGGGACTCAACAAACAGTAGCCACTATGAATACGTTATTGCCACCTGCACGCCTCCCATCTTCACACATACACTCTGTCCCTCTTGTAACTCCCTTACCAATCTCAGCCACCACCAATTTCCCAGAGTCACCTCCTGGCCACCTGGAGGCCCAAAGCAGACAACGCGTCAAGAACATCCTGCACCCCTGGCACCGGCCCACACCCAGCTCCCGCCCCAGGCCCTGGGACCCCACAAGCCTGCAGCACGGGTGATGTGAATGCTGCCTGGACACGAAGACAGGCCTGCTTCTCCTTCCTTCCCTGCCTGGAACTCACTCCAATGGGCAGTGACGGCAGGTCTTGTGGCTGCCCCAGATGGCCTATGGAACACTGTGGGTGCCCACACCAGCCTCGAGCCAGCATCCAGCCACCCCCTCAACCCCAAGGCCCATGGCAATGGTAGCACAGGGAGATGCCCAGAAACTCAAGGGGTAGGGGTCTCTAGGGATCTCCTTCTCTGTGTCCTGCATCCCTGACAGGCCTGGGACAGACGAGAACAAAATGCCCCAATGCCAGGCACTTTATTCTATTATCTCCTTGGTTCCCACAACTCCACGTCCCGTTACCGTCCCCACTACAGAAAACAGGCTCCAAGAGTGATGTGTTCAACACCACTCAAGGTGGCAGTACCTCAATCCAAGCCCAGGCCAACCTGACTCCAGGGCCCATCTTTTGCCCTGTGTGTGGGCCTGGTCTAGATGCCTCCCTGCCCTCGAAGCAGGGGAGCCCTGGCCCAGTCCACCACCCGGCAGCACGCACCCTCTCGCTGACCGCGTTGTACTTAATGGCGAGCTCATCGCGCTCGGCCCGGCTCTGGGCCAGCAGGTCCTCCACGCGGGACAGCTCCTGCTGCAGCAGCTGGTTCTCCTCCTGCAGTGACAGCAGCGATGCCATCTCTGTGGCCGGCAGCGGGACTGGCAAGGGACAGTGGGCACATGGTTGGCTTCTGGGTTCAGTGGGACATCCTCCCCCCATGGATACCCTGCTCATTGCTCAGGACAAGAAAACCATCCAGGCCCCTGGGAGGAGCCTGGTGGGAATGACCGCAGCACCAGGGCTGCAAACAGAGCTTCAGAACGGAGGAAGACAAAGAGGGAACCCAGAGCTGGAAGCAAAGTGGACCCAACTCCAGCTAAAGTGTTGGCCCAGCAGGTTCGGGAGGTTCAGGAGAGAGACTCAGTCTAGGAGTCAAAAGACTCCTGAGTTCTTGCTCCCTCCTTCTCCAATTACTATTCTTTTCCAGGCCTCAGTTTTGCTTATTTGTAAAATGGGTGGAGTGGTCTCAGTGACTCATGCCTGTAATCCCAGCACTTTGGGAGGCCAAGATGGGGAGATCACCTGATGTCAGGAGTTTGAGACTAGCCTGGCCAACATGGTGAAGCCCAGTCTCTACTAAAAATACAAAAATTAGCCAGGCATGGTGGTGCATGCCTGTAATCCCAGCTACTTGGGAGGCTGAGGCAGAAGAATCGCTCAAACCCGCGAGGCGGAGGTTGCAGTGAGTCAAGATCGCGCCACTGCACTCCAGCCTGGAAAACAGAGCGAGACTCTGTCTCAAAAAAAAAAAAAGGGGGTAGAATAGTAACCAGATCCTCCCAGAAAAGCATCAAAGCCTTGCTCAAGGGAAGGGCTTCATGGAACTTTTAAGGCTAGGGCTCAAGATAGCATAGGTCCGGATGTGAGGAGGAAGAGAAGGAGGAGAAAGAGAGAAGAGGGGAAGAAAGACCAGCGGGAGAAGCGGGGTTGTCCGCCTCCTGTGGGCTCCCCTTCTACCCTGGTAGAGCGGGACACATGCCCCATGTGTCAGGGTGAGAGCCCTCTGAGTCGCTCCCTGTCTGGGGCTCTAGGGTGCCAACATCCCTGGTGCTCCCAAGGAGGGCGCCCATCTGTAGCTTGGTAGTTGAACAGGGACAATGGTTAGAGCACCGAAACGCCACCACGGAGAGCTTCCAGCACACCAGCTACGACTGAGTGTGCCCCCGCCAGACCCTCAAGCCACATAATGACACCATGTGTGCTACCGCCGAGAGGAACAGGGACCGTCCACGTTCCTGCCCATGTGAAAAATGAATAGACAGCACCATCCCCTCAGACTTCTGCAAAACCCTGGTCTGAGCTGAGCTGCCCTCTCCCTATATCTTGGGTTCAGCCAGCTCACGCCTTCCCTGGGAGGGAACACGGGATTTGGGGTTCACGTCTTTGCAGCAGGCTACAGGCAAGCACGGAGAGGTTGCTCCCCTTCCTTCTAGCTGCACCACATGCGGAATAAGTCTGGGCAAGTTACATCCCTGAGCCTCCATTTCCCCATCTGTAAAACGGGTTCTTCTATCATCAGGTTGTGCCTGCCCCACAGCAATTATTCCAGAAACAGAAGCTACAGTCATGATCATCATGGTGACTGCTCAGAAAAGGGATGTGCAAAGAGATGAAATGTGGTGTCTGTGGAGAGGAGCGGATGGGGGTGGCACCTGGGCTCTCAGGCCGAGAGAGGTTGCGAGTGACAATCTCCCTGATGCAGGCAGGCAGGCTGCTGGTCTGAGCGTCCTGGGCCAGGTCCCGTGCCCCCGAACCCTTCTCCTGGCACAGGACGCTGCTCTCCAGTGTCTGTGGGAAAAGCGAGAGGATCTTCAGGGGAGCCGGGACCCGGGGCTCCCTGGCCTTGAGGGGAGAGCCACAAAGTCCTACTGCCCAAGATAGGGGTCCCAGGAGCCTCCTTAAGATGGAGCGAAGCCTGGGAGTTAGAATCCAAAAAGCCCCATGGGGGGAGCCTCCTGTGTGCTCCCTGCCCCTGGGAGACCACCCAGAGTGAGAGGTGAGAACCAAACCCCACAGGCAACCCCGAACCCTAATGGAAGCAGTCCAGTGTTGGGGGCTCCCATCTGGCTCCGACCCTAGATGGAGGAGGATCTGGCTATGTCAGAGGTCTCCTGAACCCTAAAATCTGGAAGTAGGGACCCCCTTCTCCCCATGCAGGGCACTGGGATGAGGAAGCCACAGCAGGTGCACCCTGTGTTCCCCTCTGCCCCCCGTCTTGCCAGGACCTGCAAGCAGGGGCCCTGTGTAGCCCCCAACCACCACACTTCTCCCACCCTTGACCCCCAAGATGCACACACCTCTCACCACTCCTGCTAAGTTCACGCTACAGCCCCGGACAGGGTAGGCACAGCCCCCAGGACGCACCTGGATAACCGTCTCTAGTGTCAGCTCGGCCTCCTGTGCCCCCGCCAGTCCCAAGCTCATGGAGGGGACGCTGTGGGCACCCCCAGCCCCCTTCTCCAGGACTCCAAGACTAGCTCAGTCAGCACTCCCCATAGCCAGGCTGCTGTGCTGAGCACCAGGCGGATTAAGCTCAAATCCGGCGGCACCCCCATGTGACCACAGCGGTGGGAGGAGCAGGATGGGGACTGAGCGGGAGGGGATGGGAAAAGACATGAGGAGGGAAGCAGAGGCGGGGGTGGGGGTGGGGGTGGAGCTGAAGGAAGAGGAAGGATGAAGGGTGGGGGGAGAGGGTAGAAAAAGGGAGGGAGGAGAACAGGGAAAGGGGGGAGGCAAGGAGGGGAGGCACCTGGAGGTCAGGACCTCACACACTCTCCACCCTCTGCAGGTTGCTGGGTCCTAAAGCCCTCCAAGCCCTAGCAGGTGGGGTCAGTAGCCATGCAGTGGGAAAAGCCAGAGTCCTGTCTTCAGGACTATCTTTGCTGGCCCAGGATGGGGGCCACATGGTTAGCTAAGAATTCGAGGATTTACAGCATGCTGGGAGTACATTTTCCCACAACAGGTGCAGGGCAAAGAAAGCAGGCTGTGAGATCACCCAGACCAGGCTAGGAACTTAGGTGGGCATGAGCGGTTCAGCCTGGACTGATGAACATCTACACAACACCTGTGGCATTCCTAGGTCTGACCTAGACACAGTGGTAGAGCCTGGAAGCGCAAATGCCCCAGCCTTGCCCTTTAGGCACTTACCCACCCCAGCCCCCACTAGCTGGGTGCACTAGGGACAGTGACTTTGCCTCTCTGAGCTCAGTGTCCTCTTACGTAAGTTGTGATAATATTGGAGTTGTCCAGGGATTAAACAAAATATCGTGTGTGCATAATCAGCACGTGACACAGTGCTGCGGGGTCACGCAGTCAACACTCAAGAAATACTCATTTCATTCATTTTAAAACCCAAAAGGCACAGTCCCGTTTGGGTGCCGTGGCTCATACCTGTCATCCCAACACTTTGGGAGAGCAAGACGGGCGGATCACTGAGGTCAGGAGTTCAAGACCAGCCTGACCAAAATGGTGAAACCCTGTCTTTACTAAAAATACAAAAATTAGCCGAGTATGGTGGCGCATGCCTACAATGCCCGATACTGAGATCTGGGAGGCTGAGGCAAGAGAATCGCTTGAACCCAGGAGGCGGAGGCTGCAGTGAGCCAAGATTGCACCATTGCACTCCAGCCTGGGCAACAAGAGGGAAACTTCATCTCAAAAAA